GTTAATGGCAGGCCCACATGTGGAGTTAACAGCAGAGAACATGCCATGATCAATTGATTTTTGTATCAAAAAACAATTTTGTTTCGGAAGGGCAAATCTTGTCCTCATTTCTGGCAGATCACCAACAGATAGAAGAAAGATCGAAGATCACCTAGCAAAGAGCATGTTATAAAGCTGTTGAAATGTGTCCTGGATACCGTCAAGCTCCCACCCAAGCTATTTCCTGCCCTCTTTCCAGCATCCAGCACAGCGCTAGCATCACTGAGAGACTCTCAGAGTATCTTTTGAATAAAGCAATGGCCTCACCTTAAACCCATAAGGTAGATGGCTAATAGCTTACTTAGGTTTATGTAGATAGTGTGTGATTAAATCACTCTTCAGTGGCTGCCCACTCAGCATGGATGTCTTCTATTATTACTATTATTATATTTTTTAATTAATTTAATTATTTTTTTAATTAATTTTCATATAATAGATGTATATCATGGTGGGTTATGGCATAGGGGTGCATACCGAGAAAAATAAGCAAATCAAAGATAGACCCATCTCTATCTTCTTTAGCATTAAATATTACATTATGTTGTGCAATTTGTTCATAGTTCTACTAGTTTGTAGTTTTGAAACTATGTATTAAATTTTCCATTTCAAAGTCTCTTTGCTCTAGGATGCATGCACTCACTGGAGAAACAGAGACAGAAACAGAGAGAAAGTGAGAAATTAACCCCTGGGAGGATGGCCACGTCACAGTCCCTTCTCCTCCATTCTCTTCTGAGAATTTTTGGCATGTACACACATGTGTCCAGCATAATTTTCAGATCCAGGACTTGAACTGCAGAGTCAGTCATGCGGGATCCAACACCTGTGGATGCATGCACTCACTGGAGAAACAGAGACAGAAACAGAGAGAAAGTGAGAAATTAACCCCTGGGAGGATGGCCACGTCACAGTCCCTTCTCCTCCATTCTCTTCTGAGAATTTTTGGCATGTACACACATGTGTCCAGCATAATTTTCAGATCCAGGACTTGAACTGCAGAGTCAGTCATGTGGGATCCAACACCTGAGACCTCCATACCACCTGCTGGCCCAAATTGTCCATATTTTTAACTCTGCTATGATACATCATCCTAGAGCCTTCCCTCTTGTTTACATGCATTCTCGTGTCCATTATTTTCTCATGAACCCCCTTCTACCTCCTCCACAGCAGTGCCTAGCATCTACATCCCAGTCTCTATTTCTGTGCTTCCGAGTCCTTCGGTCTCCACCACAGAGTAGGGACATTAGGTGTATGTGGAATGGGGACATACGGTGTTTGTTTTTCCTAGTCTGGTTTGTTTCACAGGGTGATTTCCCAGTGTGAGCAGTTGGTCACCTCACTCAGGACTCTTCCCTGATAAAGCAAATGTTAGGGTACGTCTTCTGGCAGATGCAGGAATAGATGGGTATGTTCAGCCATGGCTGGACTCTGGTCTTTCTCTCTAACACCAATAACCACTTATCAGTTACTGCTGGCTTGGATTCATCATGAGATTCTTTTCTATATTTTAACTTTAATAACTTTGTTTTAGTTGTGATTAAAATGAACCTTTAAACAGCATTTGAACAAAAGTATTAATTGGTTGCATGCCTGTATATTGTAATAAAGCAATAGTAACCATTATGAAAGACCTCAACATAGAAAAGGGGGGAATACGAAGCAGCGTCGGTAATGAATAACTTTAATTTACCCTTAGCACTGAAGTCCCTGTCAACCACGAAAAGAAAGTGCACATTTTCCCTACTTAACATTATTATTCTTGTCTCACCTGCAACCTAGGTTATAAAACTTTAAAAGTGAAAAGTTTGAAGCTGCATTCAGAATTCAGGAAGATGCAGTATAAACAGAAGAAGCAGGTAGGTAGGTTCCACAAACAGGCACACGCACTGGCAAGCTGACATGTACAAATATAGACACCAACTAAAGAGGGCTGCAAGGAGAGAACCGTGTCGGCGCTGCTAAATTATTCATCACCTGCTCTGCAGAGTGAACACTATCAGGTAATGATCTGTAATTATTAATAAATAATTTAAGCTTTTAATAGCTCTGAAATGAAATGCTTAATTGCATCACAACATAATTAATGGAATTAGCTGCAATGTTAAAGATGAGACTTTTTTTTTTTTCTTCCATCTTTCTTTTTCACATTTTCTTTGCTCTGAATGCTGGTAACCTAGCGAATAAACAGGGTGATTAAACTTGAAGTGTGTGTGTGTGTGTGTGTGTGTGTGTGTGTGTAAGAGAGAGAGAGATGTACGTTTCAGCACAGGGATGTGTGTGCAGTTTTGTTCTATGAGTCTTCACATCCAGGGTATCTCAGGTATGGAGACATGAGCTTGACCAGCCTGTGTCTGACAGCGGCCCTGGCAGTGATCGCCCTCAGCTCGCTGCGGTATCTTGTTCAGGGCGTAGAGAGCTCTCACTGTGCTTACACCTTTGTGATCAGCACAGGAGAGAGGGCCGGAGAGGAAGAGGGGAGTGGTAGCTACAAACGCAAACAGGGTGAATTCCTGGCCCTTTGTTTTTGGCCTCCTGCAGAGACAGGCTGTACTTTTTAAAAAATTATTATTTTATTTTAACTTTTTATTATTATTGTTATCATCATCCAATTCAACCAGAGAGAGACAGAGAGAGAAAGTGAGAAAGGAAGCCTCCAGGCCCAGGACTTGAACCATGGTTGGCCATGTGGGAATCCAGCGCCTTTAACCACCACACCACCTGCCAGCCCTAAACAGGCTGTAGTTTACAAATGTTTTAGTAGAACTGCTCCTAATGGAAACCGGGATCATGAAGATGGAGATTGGTTAATAAAAATTGAGCTTTGTGAACCCCAATAGTTCGTGGTGCTCCAGGTCCCACCCAGCGCCTGAGTTCATTAACTCGGTCACCCTAGGACCCTCAGTGGGCCATGGAACTTGAATGCAAGTACTCCTTGCCTTACACTGTGGGTTGACATCCCTATAAATCCATTGTTAGTTGAAAATGTCATAAATTGAAATGCATTTAATATGCCTACCTGGGGCTGGACAGTGTCACAGCAGTGAAACCAAATGCTCTGCAAGGCAGACCCACATGGGAAGGTTCCGGAATTGTTTCTGGATTACACCAGGCATGACACGCCTGTGACCTGGGGCTGGCTGAGGCTGGGGTGAATGACAGAGTTGGGACTCTGTTGGAGCTTCTCTCCTCACTCCCTTATTGAAATAAGTCAATAAACTTAGCAAAAAATGTCCAACCTATAGCTGGACAAAATCATCCAACACAAAACCTTCTTTATAATAAAGATCTGGCAAGCTCATGTCATTTATTAAATGCTGTACTGAATGCGGAAAACAGAACAGCTCCCTTCTGCTGCCCAGCATCCCAAGAGAGTAGCATATGGCATATTACTACCAGGGAGAAGGTCAAAATTCAGAGATGTAAGTGTGGCTTCTACTGAATGCATACCACTTTTATACCATCATGAAGCAAGACATATTTTGTCTTGAACCATCTTAAGTCTGGGACTGTCAATATACCCACATTATCATTGGGCTCCCAGACCTTCTCTACCTTCCCTTCTTCCTGGGAGTCTAGGTTTTATAAGCTTAAGGCTTATAACCCTTAAGCCTCATCAAGCCTTGGAAGAGGTCTGAAAGGAAGGAACACGAGAATACGCAGCTTTGGGAGGAAAGGTGCTACTTACCGGGAATAGGAGAAATCAGACAGGGATAGGCAGCACAGCCCGATGAGCAAGGATGCCACTAGGCAGGGTGGAGGGAAACAGGAGCAGCAGACAAGGACGGCAAGCCTGCTCAGAGCAGCGTTTACATGCGCCATCCCTATGCACCATGTTCTGTGCCACAGGATCGTCTGGGTACTTTACAGACATGTACTCATTTAGTATCTCAATAATCCTAAGGGAGAAGTACAATCACTACCCCTGTTCCCACTTTACTGAAGAGGACACTGAAGCAAACTCAGTTAAATGGTTTGCTCAGGGTCACACAGCTATTCAGCATTGGAATGAAGCTTTGAGCCCAATACGTCTGGCTCCAGCATCCACTCAGTTGCCTCTCTGTGCTTCTCAGCTATCCTGACCTAAATTTACAAAAGAGATAATGAGAAGCTTATGGTCGAAACTTTAAAAGGCTTGCTCAAGGCTACTATGCAATTCTACCTAAAGGTAGGTTGGTCTCCACTCTTCACCCCAGGTGGTCGTGTTCTGCATCCACACGCTATCTTCCTGTATTCTCAGAGTGGAGGAAATGCACTGCTTGGACATGTGGCTCTGGATGTGGCTCTCGTGTGCATGTTGATCAATGAGGAGGCGGTGGATGTGACTTGAGAGAGACCTGGATGCACCTGTGTGCTTGGGCTTACTCTCATTGGGTTGCCTTTCTCCATAGCAGACTATGTCTCAGGTAACCACAAGTTGAGGAAGTTGTAAGACATGTGGAGCCAACCTGGATGGAGCCCTCTGCTCGAAGCGATTTAGCCAAGCACAACACAGATAGGTCGTGCTCCAGTGACCCACAGATCCATCGCCTAAAGCAGAGCTACCCCAGCTGACCTGCACACCAGTGAGCACAGCCGTGAAATCTTACTGCTAGATGCCATCATGACGTTGTGGTTGTTTGTTATGTAGCATTATTGTTAGGTTAGCTGACTAATACTGTTCTACCATCCCACCCTTAGGCGTTCTTACATATGGACACTTAATTCTTTTCAACATTACTTATAGTTTGATGCCAAGGCAGCTTCAAGATAAGTTCCCAAGCTCTTATTCCAACCAGATGGCTCCCCTCAGGCACTTCGGTATAGAAATTCTGGAACAATCAGCATTCAGTAGAGTTGAGATGCAAATCCGTCTCCTGACTCAGAGTCCTAGATTTTAGCCACTGAACTAAAGGACCCATCAAATATGAATGAACCCAAAGCCAAGTTCCCTGTGCAAGCGCCTGCCAATGGCTGCAGGCAATGGCCCTCTGCTCTGGATTCATCCATCCTGCCTCCAAGCTGCTTGCTATTCCTCCTTTCCCCTCATATTTTTCCCAGAGCCTTTATTTGGTTCCACCGTTGTTTCTCATTCTTCCCTTCCTCCTAAAACAGACAATCCAATTTAAGATAACGTCCCCATCTTTGGTCTCAGTACCACTTCTGAAACACAAATTCCAGGATCCCCTCTTTACCCAAAACATATCTGTTGGTCTCAGGTAAGAAGCATTCTTGCCTGTGAACCTACTCTGGGTTTGGTATCTTTTTCATCTGGGGAGAAGGATGAGATCATTTTGGGTATAGGACAAAGCCCAACTCAGACCCAGCGTCTATGCAGAGTATTTATCACATAGACAACTGGACTGACGACCTATATAGGACCGAAAGAGCCTTGTGCCAGACAATAATGGGATAGGGATGTTGGGGAGAAGCCAGGACAGAGAACCTAACTGAGCAATGTTGCAGGAGTCCAGAAGACCTCACAGCTAGGTGCATCAAGAGCCAGGAACCAAGATGCTGGATTCAGAGTCCGGAAGACCAGGGAAGGAAGCGTGGCTGGCACGTGTGAAACTGGGCTGAGAGCACTGCCCCATTGCCAGTGGTCAACCTGCTCAGGCTAGAGAGGAAACAGGGCTGGCCAAGGCAGAGGCAAAGGTGAGGATCAGACCACCTTGTGGCAAAGACCTTGCCTCATTTCCAAGCTGGCTGTCACCCTGGTTGATGACAGAGGCTCAAGGTGAGGATCAGACCACCTTGTGGCAAAGACTTGCCTCATTTCCAAGCTGGCTATGTTACCCTGGTTGATGACAGAGGCTCTTCTGGGTGAGTTAGACCACCAACTCTAGAGGCACCTGCCTGTCCCATCTGGTCACACCCAGTCTGCACACCCATTACTTGTGCACGGTTGTGATTATTTTCTTTTATTTCCCTACCCTGTTATAGTTATATTTCTAGTGTAGTGCTCAATCATTTTAATTCAAGCTTTTAGTGCTAAAAAGTAAAAGAGGCTATTGGATTTCTCTTGCCCTATATAAGCCAGAAGCATATTTTCCGCCCCCTGCCAATGGCTGCAGGCAATGGCCCTCTGCTCTGGATTCATCCATCCTGCCTCCAAGCTGCTTGCTATTCCTCCTTTCCCCTCATATTTTTCCCAGAGCCTTTATTTGGTTCCACCGTTGTTTCTCATTCTTCCCTTCCTCCTAAAACAGACAATCCAATTTAAGATAACGTCCCCATCTTTGGTCTCAGTACCACTTCTGAAACACAAATTCCAGGATCCCCCTCTTTACCCAAAACACAGCTTTGGTCTCAGGTAAGAAGCATTCTTGCCTGTGAACCTACTCTGGGTTTGGTATCTTTTTCATCTGGGGAGAAGGATGAGATCATTTTGGGTATAGGACAAAGCCCAACTCAGACCCAGCGTCTATGCAGAGTATTTATCACATAGACAACTGGACTGACGACCTATATAGGACCGAAAGAGCCTTGTGCCAGACAATAATGGGATAGGGATGTTGGGGAGAAGCCAGGACAGAGAACCTAACTGAGCAATGTTGCAGGAGTCCAGAAGACCTCACAGCTAGGTGCATCAAGAGCCAGGAACCAAGATGCTGGATTCAGAGTCCGGAAGACCAGGGAAGGAAGCGTGGCTGGGACGTGTGAAACTGGACTGAGAGCACTGCCCCATTGCCAGTGGTCAACCTGCTCAGGCTAGAGAGGAAACAGGGCTGGCCAAGGCAGAGGCAAAGGTGAGGATCAGACCACCTTGTGGCAAAGACCTTGCCTCATTTCCAAGCTGGCTGTCACCCTGGTTGATGACAGAGGCTCATCTGGGTGAGTTAGACCACCAACTCTAGAGGCACCTGCCTGTCCCATCCGGTCACACCCAGTCTGCACACCCATTACTTGTGCACGGTTGTGATTATTTTCTTTTATTTCCCTACCCTGTTATAGTTATATTTCTAGTGTAGTGCTCAATCATTTTAATTCGAGCTTTTAGTGCTAAAAAGTAAAAGAGGCTATTGGATTTCTCTTGCCCTATATAAGCCAGAAGCATATTTTCCTTCCCCTTTTTCTCTGTCATCAATAAATTATAATTATTACTACCATTATTATCATTATTATGAAAAGCGCTGCATGGGTCCAAGATTATATCTAGATGAAGGCATGCTTCGAATGTGCGGCACACATTATCCTACAAGATCTACTTATTGTTTCTGATTTGTATCAGATAAGCTACTGGAGGGTGGATGGGATTTTCCTAGGGCTACCCTAAGATTAATAGGGCTACAATTCACTCCTCTGTTGTCCTTGAGCAGTATCCGTTCAATGAACGCGGTCATCGTTACTCTGACCCTATGAGACTGCAGGTGCTTGCATGAGTAAATGCAGCCCTGCTATGGGCATGCCAGGGCTGGACCTTTGAGAGATTCCGGTCTAAACTTATTTAATGTGAAATTGAAATCTAAAGAAGAAAAGATTGTCTGGTGGTCTGGCATTTAGTCCTGAGTGCCAGCTGGCCTCTTTTTCTAAAGGAGATGAGGAATTGCGAGAGTAGTATGTATTTAAGAACTTGGGCTCTAAAGCCAGAAAGCCTGGGTTTGAAGTCTACCTCTGACACCCACTGTCTTTAGGCAACTTAGACAACCTCTCTACACCTCAGGTTTCCTATCTGTAAAATGGCAATAACATCTTTATAGTGCTATAGCGATCTTTAAATAAGATAACCCATTTGGAAACACGGTGCTTGGCATACTGAAAGATTTTAGTGTTAGTTGCTTACGAGTAACTTGGAGTGTGTCCACAAGAGGGTGACCAGGATGCTAAGGAGGTTGAAATCATGTTTTAGAGACAAAGGATCTTTTGTTTCTGTTTTAAATGAAATGTTTAGCTTTAGGTAATATGTTAAGTGGACTGTTCTGCCACCTCTCTTAAACACGTTAGAACCATCACATACAGAGGGATTGAAATCAGTATGGTGGCTCTAGAGGCCTGAGCTGATGCACATGACTTTGATCAGGTCACTCAGCATTTAAAACGTTCAAGAATTCTTGGCCACCTGTGGGGTCGTATCCAGGAAGCCATCCACAATCCTACGCAGTTTGGCTTTTCTAACAGTCTCCGGCCTCTGTTCATTTGACTTCCCTTCATGAACTTTGTGCATAAATAGATTGGAACTATTATTTATACTGTCGTGGTTTCTCCCTTCCACATCTTTAGCCCTCTTATTCTCTGTTTGCCCTGATCATTTCCAGTTATCAAAACTCTTGTCCTCCTATGAACCCCATAGCCAGAAGTTGCACCCCCAACCCCAGCCTCCCATTGGGTCATGATTTTGTGTGTCCTGGGTTTTATCCTTGGCTTATTTTGGTTCCTATCTCTTGGTAGTCTATGAGCATGCAAGAACAGGCTCGGGGTCTGAACCCTCTGTCTCATATTCCCCAGAAGTGCCTGACGTGGTGCTCTGGGATCTAGGGCCATCCTCGAAGTCGTCTGAACCACGTTCCACCTGGCTCTTCCACTTCCCAACTCTGACCTGGAAATGTTTCCTTCCCCTCTTTAACCCTTAGTCTTCCTCTATGAATTGGGACTAATGGAACTCACTGTTGAACTCAGCATAGTTTCAAGTGATTGGGTTCCGGCCTCACCTCCCACAGCTACATTTGGTTCCTGAGTCCACTCTTGACTCCTGCAGAGGCCTCTGACAAATACTTCTTTTCTGACACCTGAAAAATGGTCAGAGCCATGCAAAAATCCCCTGGGTACTCACACATCCATTCCTCTCCCTTCAAGTCCAAGCCGGAGTTAGAGGTAACCTGTTTACTTATGCCCTGGACCCACTTTAACACCCAGCTTCTCACAAACCACCCAAGGAGTGAATTAAGCCTAAGAAGAAAGGAGAACATGTTGAATTCTTTACTTTTCCTTGGCAAACATCTACCCCTTACAGAAAACTTACTTTTACATCCTTGATGAACCCTTGATGAAGTTTTACATCCTTGATGAACCCTTGATATACACATTTCTAGAAATAGCCTCTGCATTAGGAGGGACAGTTTGATTCAGGGTCTTTTGTATCACAGGATTATTGTAATTAGTAAGTGATATAATTAATGAAGTGTCTGGCACTAGCCCTTGCCTCAGTGGACCAAGAACTGTGTGGACTTTGCCTGCCAGGCCAAGAATGCTGTGTGGCATTGCTTCTCACCCCAGCCTGTGCTCTGCCTCCAGAGTCCCCTCCACACAGAGACTGGGAGCTCCCCAGTCCCACCCAAAGAAAAACGAAGGTGACTAGTTAGGAAACATTGGAGTAACCCAGGCAAGAGATGAAGGTGGTGAAAAGCAGTCAGATGATGGGTGTATTTTGAAAACTGAATATGGAGCCTTTTGTTTTGGTCTGTTCTATCTGCTCCACAAAACATCTTAGGCTGGGTAATTTATAAACAACAGAAATGCATTACAGTTCTGGAGACTGGAAAGCCCAAGGCCCAGGTGTCAGCACGTTCAGTGTCTAGTGAAGACTCACTCTGCTTGAAAGATGGTGCCTGCTTGCTGTTTTCTCACATGGAGGATAGGGGAGAGGGAGCTTCCCTCAGCCTCTCTTGTAAAGCACGAACCCCATTTATAATGGCCAGACTCTCAGACCTCATGGCTTCCTAAAGCTATCTTCCCAAAGCTCTGCTTTTCACCTGATTTTGCAGTTGTGTAAAATAGACTGAGATTTACATCAGAGAGAAAAAAATTGGTGACTAGCATTTTGTTTAAATACTAGTATCAGTGATTTCAGTAGGAGGCTGGATGGTGGTGGCAGTGTTAAAACATGGTCTTCTACCAGGCTCACCCAAGTTCTCATCCTGAGATGTCCTTCAGTATGCTGGGCACACATGTACACTGTATCCAGGGCTGGTCGAAGCTAGAGGTGGATTATGTCAAGATCCTGTTGGGGGTGGAATTTTCTATCTCTCTGCCTCTGTTTCTCTTTTACTCTCTCGTTCATGGAAAAATAATCATAATGAACACTCATTACGCATGAGGAGAGTGACATAGATACGCTACAAAAGCCAGGGCAGTTCCCACACATTCTTTGTGAATGTGCAACCCCTGTCATTCTGCCTGGAGGAGCAGACCTATAGCCAAGGACAGCCACCATTTTGGTTCCAACAGTCTCTTACCAAATGGCTCTAAGTTGTTTGACCTCTCTGAGGCTTCAGATTTTTTTATTTTGATTTTATTCAGGTTTCTGTCATAGGGTGCAGGAACTCACCAGAGAGACAGAGAGAGACAAGAAAGTGAGAAATCACTCCCCTACCCCAGGGAAGTGGCCACTCCACAAGCCCTTCTTCACGTTGCTCCTGGAATTTGGGGCATGCCCACACATATGCCTGGTGTGATTTGCAAACCTCTAGGTCCAGACTTGAACCACAGTCAACTATACGGGAGTTTAGTACCTTAACCACGATGCCACCTGTTGACCTCAAAGCCTGGGATTTTTAAACACTGTGTTTAAATTACTGACCCTCACACATTCAAAACAAAATGAGGGCCCAGGTGGTAGCACAGTGGTAGTGCAGCTGCACCAACATGACAAAGGTCCTGAGTTCCTGGCCCAGGACCTCCTTGAGCACGCCGGTGCCTGTAATTATGGCTGGCTGGGGCTGGGGGTGGATCATGGCCTGAGGACCCAGTTGGGGGGTAACTGTGTCTCCCTGCATCTTTCTCTCTCAATCTCTTGTATGGAAAAAAATGAAAGGATAAACCTTTAAAAAATAAGGAATCCATAAATATATACAAAAACCTAATGCTTTGCTCAATGGTCCCTGGGTGCCCGTGAGACCCCTGCTGCCTGCATGCCACCCCTCCTGACTAGTCTCTGTTCAGCTCTTACGTTGTATCCCTTCCTGGCTCTTCGGTCGCCAAGCACTGAGGACAGGAGGGTCCTGGATTCCCCTGCTCCTGCCTGGGAGTTACAATCTCCCGGCGCACAGTCCCAACCGTTCTATTGCAAAATGTATCACTTTGTGTTGTTCTTATTTTCTTATTTGCTTGTCTTATGCAGTAGACTGTGAGATCCTCGAGGACAGAGAATATGTTTTATTCATCATTGTTTTTCTTACAGTGCTCCTCATGATGCCTGGCTAGAACAATCTCCGTAAATGTGAATCGAATGACTGTCCCGGAAGCCCCCTCGTGAGTGCCGGCAGTCTCTCAGTGTACTCCCAACATCTCCCCGTTTTTGTTAGGCCGACGCTCCGGTTCTGGGCTAAGACAGAAAGGACAGGGTTTGCACAAAAGCAGCAAAGTGCTAAAACCCGTGACTCACAGAGCGAGCCCTGAATGGATGTGCTGTGATGAACACTCGCCCGAAGGGAGGTGGCTTGGCCCTTACCTGCCCAAAGCCGCCACTGCTGCATCCTCGGTGAGCTCGATGCTGCCCCTCTGCCCCGCCGTCCCCTGTTTGTTACCCCATAGTAGACGCTGCAGGCCGGGTTGGTTTGCCCTAGAAATACCATCCCCTCGCCAAGACCACCTGATCTACCAGGGATACGTGAGACAAACTGAGAGGTAATTCTTGCTCATCTGGGGCTGGGTGCAGACCTGGGCACGGGACCAAGGACCCATGTCTCCCCCAGACCATGGCTCTGAGACGTGATTGCCCTGTCATTATGTCTCTCTTTTTTGGGGGGTCACATTTTATTTTTAATTGAAAACCATAATTGCACACATTTAGGGTAGACAATATGATGTTTCTATACATGTATACATTATGGAATGACCGAATTAGGCTGATGAGCACATCTCATTTTTCTGCAGTGTTTTTCTGTAGTAGTATTTAGTTTTTCCATGAGTTAGAGAGATAGAGAGACAAGTTTCCCCCGAAGGATCTCAATGCCATGGCCCACCCCCAGCCTCAGTTAGCTCTCGATCATGGGCACATGTACCCAGCAGACCGAGAGAGGTCTCTGGATGTGAACTGGGAGCCTTCCCATGTAAGACTGCAGCACAGAATATCACCACCTGGCCCCACGATAGTAGGGCTCTGTGTCTCTTAGCAATGAAATACTAACCAGCTCTCAAAGGTTTTCATTTATTCCCTCCTCCATCTTCCCCCAAGGGAAGAGAGAGAGTTACACAATGAAGACCACTGCAGAGAAAAAGGGAAGAAATAGAACCCCTCTAGCATCTATACACTTTATAATATGATAGAAGGAAGTTTAACTGCACAGTGATCTTAATAATCGTGATCTTAATCATTTTTAGGAGCTTATTGCTAGCTGGGCATGATGTTTTAAATAGCACGTCCCATTTTGTACTTTCTTTCTTTTATAGATTGTTGTCACAGAGTGCCTGTGCTCACTGGAGAGAGACCGAGAGAAAGGGAAAGTGAGAAATTGGCCCCCAGGGGAACTAGCCACACGCAATCACTTCTCCTCCATTCCTCTCTCAGGATTTTGGCATGTGTTTTAAGCCATCAGGTCCAGGACTTGAACCATGGAGTTGGCCACATGGGATCCAGCACCTTAAGCACCGTGCTGCTTGCTTGGCCCCATGGACCTTCTGTGTCAGACAGGGTCTCGCACCATGTTTCCCTCCTCTTCTCTCAGTCTCCTGAGAAGCTGGACTACAGGTGCGGCCACCATGCCTGGTTTCAGGATGGCCCTCCATGTGACCTCAACCTGCCAAGCAGCAGCAGCACCACGCACCATCCCCGCCAGGCCCCACTTCATACTTTACTAGTCACACAGAGTATTTTTCGATATTTTCTCCATTTTGCAGATGAGAAAACCAATCTCAGAGTTTGTCAGTTACTCAGAATTGAACAGATGATGAAATACAATGCTGGGCTCAGTGAGGGTGGCCTGCTGGGGCCAGCCTTCTTTCCCAAATACTACCCTCTCCTCCATCCTAGCCTGCTGGTCTCCTGGCTCCACACTGCTGCTGCTTGCGGTCGGGTGAGTTTTGTACTGAACTAAGAGAGAAGAAGCTTCCACTCTGAAACCAGACACGTTTCTCCCGCGTTGTTCTTAGCCATTATGCTCAGCGTTCCCCAGAATTCTCTAGTTCTCTGCCGAGAAACTACTCCAGACTCCAGCCAACCCCCTGGCTGCAGTGGTCCATGCAGCCTGTTCTTTCCTTCTGGCCTCCATGCCCAAAGCCCATCCCTGGATCGTGGGTACACACGTGCATCTTGGGAGGTCTCTGGATTTGAACTAGGAAACTTTGTATGTGAGATTGCCTCCCAGAATATCCCAATTTATCAAGCTTCAAGTGACCCACACCCTCCATTCTAACCTGTTGAAAGATTGGCCCTGTCTGTAGCAAACATTTCCAATAAACAGCTGAAAAGTTACGAGCCACCTGTTCTGGCTGGTGATAGCATGTCTAAACCCAAAGACTGGGCTTTTTGAGAGTGGGCTTTCTAAACATCACTTTGAATACTTACACACCTATCCCTCAAGGATCGAACCGCACTTTCAGTATGACAGATGCTCAAAAAGACAAAGAGGAAATGAGTTGTGGGAAAGAGGGGAGGGAGAGAGGACGGAAGGGCAAATTCACGTCACTTGGTTTTTCCTCCCCTCCTGGTAGGAAAGCAGTAATCTGGATTTCTCATTATGTGAGCCTCTTATTTTCAGCCACAAAGCAGTTCTATCTTATTCTTCTGGAGTGGAAAAAAAGATGCTGCAAAGCCACACACCCTGCCAGCCCGGGATGCAGAAATGATAGAGGAGTATCTCAGAAGCACAGCAGGAGGGGTGCATGTCAGTGCAATGCAATCAGCCAGCGTCAAGTCCAGCGAGGAAAACTCGAGTTAACAACGCCCCTCTGCTTGGGAAAATTGTAGAGGCTGCAGAGGGAAAATGCATTTGAGAATATAGCCCATAATAAAGTACCTTTGCTGGGAGGCAAGTTATGAGAAGACAGACCTCGTGAGGTCAATATAACAGGGTTAAAAGTCCAAGGGTCTTCCAAGAGACAGAGACAAAGAAAGTAGTGGTGGAGGCTGTCCTGGGGAGCCGGTGTGGTGGACGGGGAAGAGCACAGGCCCAGGATAGACCCGAGGATATCAACGCCATCGCACTCCGTTTGGGTGGGCCAAACATTTCTTCACTGGTATCAGACTGAAATTCGGGGTCTATAAAACAGTGAAAATATCTGCCTCACAGGGTTGTTGGATGATTGAATGAAGTAATATCTGAACAGTGCCTGTTAAATATTAACTGTTTACTAGATGTGCACTTCTTTCCCCAAAGTAGAAACACGAAGTGTTGAAGCTACAGAAAAATGGAAGAGGGTCAGATGGTGGCACTGCAGTGAGACACAACACTGCAACACCGGCCCACAGGGGAAGGTTCCGGGTCCACCTCTAGAGACCTCTCAGGGGGTCCAGTGCCCATGACCTGGGCTGCCTGAAGCTCTGGGGTGGATCGGGTGGCAAGACCCTGCTGTGGGTGCTATCCTTTCATCTCTTTTTGTTTCTCTCCCTCATGAAAAAAATTACTTAATATGCTTCAAACAGGAGCGGAATGGGAAACTGAAGGGTAGCTAACCCCGCTCTCTTGTTTCACTACAGCAGGAGAAGAGCCCCATGCGGCTGCGTGGTGCAAGATTCCCAGGACCTAACGCACTGTTTACATGCGACAGTCAGGTCAGCGGGAAGACCAGGGGCTCTGCTGGGATGGGGCGGCAGGTCTTGTTCACATAGCGTCCTCCCTTCCTTTTCACCTGTGAGAGACTCCAGGCCCCTTTAAGACATCCTGCCAACATACCTTCTCACTGTTTCGGTCACAACACTGAATGTGGCAGCTAACATGTGCCACTTACAGTTTGGAAGGTGGTGGCCACTCTCAGGGAGCATGATGGGTTCTTTCTACTCTGTGATACCAGGGCACCAATCAAGGCGTCTGAGGCCACTGTTTGAGATACAGCTTCAAAACACAAGCTTGGGACAAGCCGATGGTGTAACAATTACGTCACTGGACTCCCATGCACTTGACCATGGTTCGAGTCCTGGACCCGGTGACTTAAAACTCATGCCAGGTGAGTGTGTGTGTGTGCCCAAGATCCCAAAGTGAGAATGGAGGAGAAGGGATTGTGGTGTGATCATGCGCCCAGAAGCGATTTCTCACTTTCTGTCTCTCTGTCTCTCCAGCAAGTGCACATGTCCTATAGCAAAAATCTTAAAGCAACAGAAAAAAATCCTCACAAGCTATAAGACCTGAAAGAATTTGACTGACCACTCTAAATCTCATCAGCAAATTTGGAAATAATTATATCATCAACTTCACAAGTTTTATTTTGGGATCGAGTGAGATCATACATGTCTCAGAGGTGACGGCCGATTTTCCCGAGGCCCAGGAGTTTCGTAAACACTAAGGCACCCCGCAGATGTGCATCACCAGGTTGCAAGCTGCTCAGGAACTTTGAATTTTAGATGGCCTTGGTGGCTTTTGTTTTTGAACAGTAGATGAGTATTTACTCATCAAAGGAGAAGAACTAGGGAGAGGCAAAGCAATATGATTCTCCATGTGTCCGCTAGGAAGTCCATTTTGCATCCGGAGGTGTCCTCCTGCACCCCTGGTTCTGTTCCCCTTTGTTCGTGACACACCTGGCACTGCCCCAGTTGGGGAAACACATTTGCGACAGATTGAACCTCCTTCTTTATTACGTGGGCCAGGTCCCCAGCCACTGCTCAGTTTCACTGGTGCCCAAGGAAGCACAGGTGTTGCTGGGTCCCAGGTTACTCCTCTGAAATCCACCAGTGTAGATATTCGTCCACACTGAATTCCACAGGCCGTGGGCCATCTGGGGTGGGAGATTGCCCTTCCCAGGAAGGAGATGCAGCAATAACAGGTGTTAATAAATGCAGATCCATGACCAGTGGCTGGCGTGGAGCACTTTATTAGGTAATCATATATTTTCATTAGTGATGGTGATGAAGCACTTAGGTTTTTATGGGGTGTTTTAATGTTTCATTTTGCCATCGTGCTTTATTATCACGCCAGCCCACTGCCTGCTGGGGGAGGCCTTGTCTGCTCTCTGCTTCTGTGCAAAAATCCTTCCAGACATTTCCTTTCCCCAAGCTTCGGACCTAAGATTACTTCCCATCTGCTTAAGGAGACAGCAGGGCCATTAAAGGCCATGAAGTCAATGACAAATCCAGCTCGTAATTTTTATGTCCTTGTTATAACCTGACGCACCCCCCACCCTGAATGTTACCACGAGGCCAACGTTTAAGTGCAGCAAGAGCAATCAGACAGCCTCATAATGAGCACTGCTCTTGGTACAAGGAGTGGACGAGAAGTGTTTGGGGAATAGAAGGAGGCAGCTCCTCTACTCCCTTGAGGAGTGAGGATGAGAAATGTGTGTTAGAACTTTCATTAGAGGTCATCTAATCTCGCAACCCCTCTCCTTCAGCACACACAGGAGCTGAGCCCAGGACGGAAAATGATGGCATGAAGTCACACACCGAGGATGGGAACTCAGGCCTCCAGTGCCAACCCAGGTTTGTCCTCCAGACTGTGCGGTCCTCACTGCTGGGCAAAGTTCAACTCAGCTCCCAGAGGCTTGCAGAAGCAGTCTCCATGGAAACACAACAGAGGAGATTCAGGGGACCAACCCGTTCATCTCGCCTCCCCATTTTGCAGATGAGTAAATTGAGGTGAGGAAAAATGGTTTACCTGAGATGATCCAGCCCCTAGTGTCAGCCGAAGCAGTAACCAAGCCAGGCAAAGACCATTAAGACAGCAGGGACCCTAAGAGGAATGTGATTCTCTCTCTCTTTAAATTGTGCTCATTTATTTCTTCCATGTAAGAGAGAGACAGAGAAAGAGCAACGTAGAGAGAGAAAAGCATTCTGAAAAGGGTCTTGATACATTACTCCATGCATGGCCTCAGCCAGCCCAGATCATCCCCAGAGGACACAAACCCAGCACCTCCCCATGTGGGTCGAGCTGTGTTGCTGTTGCACCATCGTCTGGCCCTGAGAACCATTTATTAAGTACTCACCGTTACTAGAGCGATGTTGCTGAAGAGCATTCTCAAGGCGCTGCTCCTGGGGTGTTGTGGATTACAAGTAAAAACACGTATGGGTTATTGTGACGACTAGTCTGCATTTCCTGGGCAGTGTGGCAAATTGAAAGGGCCAAAACATCATAGACAGAAAAGCAAGGGATATTATATTGTATTCACCTGTGCCATCAGGATGACCTTGAGTCTCAGTCTCCTAATCCGTAAAATGGAGATAAAAATTCAGCAACCCGAAGGCATTGAGAGAATTCAGCTAGGCAATATATGAAAAAAATGCTTTGCCACTGGCATAACTACCACGAAATACAGAGTAGTTACTGTAAAGATTATAATCAGATTATATACAGAGGTGAAAAAGCTTTAGGACTGTGGTGTATGTGATCGTCAAATCCCTCAGATTTTCCTGATTCTTAAATGCCTAAGAAGAGCCCCATCGGATATGAACAGGTTATGAGACCCCTTTGACTTTGCAGTCTCCGTAGCTATGGAGACATAAATTCTCACAACACAAAGGGGTTAAAAATAAGTTAGCGAAGGTGATTTATTAGAGAGGGAAGCCGGGTCAATTGGAAGGCTGATTTTCAGAAAAGGCAAATGCATGGAAGAAGACATCAGGACAGTTCCTGAAAGAAATCCCTTTGTTCCTTTAAGCACTTGGCCTGGTGCTTGCCGTGTAGTTGGTTGCCAATAAACGTTGGTGAATCTCTGAATGGACAGGCTGCTAGACCCGCTCGTCTTTCACTCCCTTGACGTGCACACCAAAGATCTTTTTCACCAACTAGCAACTTTTGCTTCATCTGAAATGTTTTCCTTCTTCAGTATTCGTTCTCAGCGTTCGATTAATCCTTCCTTTCATTTCTTTGTACTCTTTATCTAGGGCTAAAGCTGCTTCCTCAGTCCCCAGACTAAACTTCTTACCTCTTCCCATAACATCAAGACGCAAATGTTTGCTTTATTCAGGAGATAAATTTTAGTTTACTATTAAAATCACAAATCCCAAACCTGCAAGGACTATGCAAATAATGTAAATAAATGAGTGAAGCAGGTATAAGACAATAAGAAGTAGAGGTCTACAGAGCATGTGTCCCTGGAAAACGCATGCTCCAGTTAAAGGATTAGAAAGGATGCTTTTACATCATGCAGGTCAAACAAACCCATGTGCTGTCCGTAGTTTCTACTCCTGCAACACTTGGGATACTACATTTGATAAAATGTACAGGCAAAGTGTTCAATAAACTGCCTTGGGTGACAAAACTATGAAATGATAAAAATGGCTATGTATTACAGAAGTTAGGATCGAACATGTGTAAATATTCATGAATGTATATAAGCATGAAGGAGAATAAGATAGGTGTTCCAGGATCTTGGGGAAAGCAGTGATGAATTTTGATGAAGCGATCAGGAAAGATTGACCACGTGAGTAACTTAAGAAAACAAAGGTCTATGGCAGCCCATCCACTTCTACAGATATTTGACGGTCAAGGCATCACGTGGCTCTTTGCTCATTTTCTTCCTGTCCATCTTCTCCGAATGGATGGCATTGACTTCGGACTTCTCCCATAGCTTAGAGCTAGCACACATGTCGATAGTGCCGTTTGGACTTTCTGTCTCTAATGCTCTTGCGTTTCAGCAACTCCGTTTCCCAGTAATGCATTGAAATTCATGCACACTACTCAAGCATCAGGCGTTGTTATTTCTGCGGTGTTAGCTTCTCTTCATCCATGTGGCAATTAGCACAGTCACAAAACCTATCACCAGGACGACTAGTGCTCCAGCACCGAGAGTCCATAGAGCAACGTGCTTTTATTTACGTCTCTAATTGTCTGGAAGACTGCAGAGTGCCACGACTGGATTTCCCTAC